CCAACTCTTTTTTTTTTTTTTTCAACGCTTATTTATTTTTTTTTGGGACAGAGAGAGACAGAGCATGAGCGGGGGAGGGGCAGAGAGAGAGAGACACAGAACAGGAAACAGGCTCCAGGCTCTGAGCCATCAGCCCAGAGCCTGACACGGGGCTCGAACTCACGGACCGTGAGATCAGGACCTAGCTGAAGTTGGACGCTTAACGGACTGCGCCACCCAGGCGCCCCTGTTCCAGCTCTTTCATTTAACATATCTGCCGCCCTCCAGTGACCAGAGAGCTCTTCAAAGCACTCCTTTTCATCTGTGATCAGGAGATCCTTATAGAGGAAATGCAAATGTCTTCTCTCTAGGATCATTTAGTTAAAGGGAACACTCACTCAAGCTAGCTTAAACAAATAGTAATGGTGGCAGAGGGAGGTATTTTAACAACAAAGGAATGGAAGCTGAAACAGAGCAGACCTGAGCTGAAACCAAGAGTCAGAGGCTTACCCACTGAGTCACCCAAGCACCCCTGATTCGGCAAAGTTTTGTAGTTTTCAGGGTAGCAGTCTTTTGCCTCCTTGGTGAAGTTTGTTTCTAAGTATATTATTCTTTTTGATGCTATTGTAAGTGGAGTTGTTTTCTTAATTTCCTTTTTGGCTTGTTCATTGTTAGTATATAAAAAAACAACTGATTTTTGTATGTTGGTCTTGTACCCTGTTACTTTGCCAGATTTATTAGTTCTATTTTTGTAGACTTTTTTTTTTTTTTTTTTTTTTTTTTAAAGAACAAAAAAATCTCACTGGCAAATAAGCAACCCAGGGAAAGAAAAAGGGTAACTAGGCTTCATGAGGACAGGAATGTTGAAGCTATTTTCTGAGGTTGATCTCTCTCTCTAGGGTTATATAACCTATCAAGTCCACTTCATTCTTGCCAGCTTCCCCAGCTTACACATGGCCCACTATTCGTGCTCTAGTCCCATGTTGGGAGTAGTTTACTTAAAAAATAAATTAAAATATGGGGTGCCTGTGTGACTCAGTTGGTTGAACGTCCGACTTCAGCTCAGGTCGTGATCTCATGGTTCATTGGTCTGAGCCCCACGTTGAGCTCTGTGCTGACAGCTCAGAGCCTGGGAGCCTACTTCAGATTCTGTCCCCCCTCTCTCTGCCCCTCCCCTGCTGGTGCACTGTATCTCTCTCTCTCTCAAAAATAAACATTACAAAAAATTTTGTAAAAAATAAAATAAGACTGGAATATCTGTCCCACTGGACTGTTAAATAACTCTGTATTCAATACGTATTAGTTATTATGAGTAGACTACATGTTGGGCACTATGCTAGATATTGGGGATAAAAGATGTATGACACCCCACCTGCCATCAGGGTGTTCATGATCTAGAAGGGGAAAATATAATTTACAAATAAAAAGGGGAAAATTTATTTACAAATAAAATAATATTACAGTAAAAATGTGTGTAAAGGAATGGAAGCTTGAAACAGAATGGCATGTTGGAGATAAATGTTAAGGATGGGACATGCTCAGATATGAGATTTAGGTAGTTTGTGAACTGAAGGGAGTGACTCCATAGGGAGGCTATGATAATTCAGGCAAACTCCTATGTGACAGAGCAAAAAAGGTTGAACTGGGAGGGTAGCAGTGTAGAATAGAGCCTTGCTGTGCCTCGAAACATGAGCTCCTTTCTCCCATGGCTTGAGACACGACACACCTTAACCATTTAGGGGGTTCTAAGGAACCCTGTTCAGCCATTTTTCAGGCATCACTTTATAGAGGAGAAAACAGGCTCAGAGATCAAGGCCATTATTGCACTATTACAGGGGCACTATTCACATTGTATTCTATGAAAATGGCCCTCCCTGGAAGACAAACATGAATCATGGCCCCTGAAGTTGTGCATTGTAGCAGCCATGTTGTAAAGGTTACAGCACGGTAGGTAATGGAACTGATCTCCAACTAAAAACCTGTGCATTTCGTGTTATGTTTACTATACTATACTATACTAGGTCTTACTATTTATGGGTATATTGCATAGTTAGGTTAAACACTGAATTACAACAAAGAAACAAATCAAAACACCCCAATATGGGTCTTCACAGGAACCTGGTAAGCATATTAAAATTAGTTTAATGGAATCCCACAAATACTAGTTACTTGACAACAAATCAAAGTGCTTGTTGTATTTTTTTAAGTTTATTTATTTTGAGAGAGAGAGAGAGAGA